CTGGAAGTTGCCAAGAGAACTGGCAAGATGAACTTTTCTTCTTCCTCCTCCTCGGCCTACTCAATGTGAAGATGATGAGGATGAAGACCTTTAATATGATATACTTATTGAATAGTAAACAAATTTTCTCTTCTTATGATTTTCTTAATGTTTTCTTTTCTCTAACAATTAACTGTAAAAATACAGAGCACAATACATATAACATACAAAATACATGTTAATCACCAGGCATGGTTGCTCACATCTGTAATCCCAGTACTTTGGGAGTCCCAGGCGGGCAGATCGCTTGAGCTCAGGAGTTCGAGATCAGCCTGGGCAACATGGTGAAATCCTGTCTCTACCAAAAATAAAAATAATTAGCTGGGCATGGTGGCATGCACCTATAGTCCCAGCTACTCAGGAGGCTGAGGTAGGAGGATCACTTGAGCCTGAGAGGCAGAGGTTGCAGTGAGCTGAGACTGTGCCAATGCACTGCAACCTGAGTTACAACCTGACTCCATCTCAAAAACAAAACAAAACAAAACAAAAAAACAAAATCCAGTAAGGCTTCCCAGTCAACAGTAGGCTCTTAGTAAAGTATTAGAAGAGGAGTCAGAAGTTACACATGGGTTTTTGACCGCACAAAGGCCACTGCCCGTAACCTCTCTGTTGTTCAAGGTCAACTATATAGTGTAAATGTAATCTTTTTATACACTAGGAAACCAAAAAGTTCATGTGACTTGCTTTATCGCAGTATTTGCTTTACTGCAGTGCTCTGGAATCGAACCCACAATAACTCCGAGGTATGCCTATAATTTGTAGAGTATGGAATGGTCAGATTGTAAGAGTGGCTACTCATTAATTCAAGAAAGTATTTGAGCACCTATGATGTGTTAGGCACCTTTACAGGAGTTGGGGATAAAGTAGTGAGCAAAACAAAATATTCTGCTCTCACAAAACCTATAGGGTCGTAAAGGGTTATGGCATTTTTTAGTAACCGTGAATAGTCCCATCCTATACTCAACTATATTACAAGAATAAAAATGACTCTGCTAATATTGAGTGAACTCTATATACCCAATTCCAAAGTACATACAGGCTCTTTACTGTTATCACATAATGTACTTTACTGAATCCTATTACTTTGCTTAACCTCTGAAATATCTTGATAGCTAAGGCTATTTTTTTAAGTGAATCAATTAATAATATTGTTAAATAATAATTTGTTAGAATTAACCAATTGCTTTCTCATGTCCATTAACTAGATCTGGCTGGTTTCTTCCTCGTTGTGTTACTTAAGAATTTATTTTATTCACTGAATTCCTATAAACTGCTAGTTACAACTAGTGGCTTGATTTAATATGGGCTCCTTTTTTTTTTTTTTTTGGACAAGAGTTCTTTATTGGTGCTATTACTACTGTTGTATGTCTCTTGCATCAAACCGGGAGGTACACAATAATTAACTGTTCCATCTTCAATCAGTAGGTTTAATCAGATTGCTACATTACAAAATTTCCCATTAACCTATCATCTAATAGTTTTCACATCCAAGAATTACTGTTGTCTAGATTCATTACTTCATTAACACTTTCAAACTTTTATTTTTCAAAAGTCTATCATTTCTTTTACACCTATTAGCTGGAAATTTTCCTAAGAATTTTCCCTCACTTACTTGGCTGCCTAAAATACAGTTCATAACAAGAAGGGCAGAATAAATATTATATTCTCTCCTTTATCAATCCTCAGAGTAAGAAACTGATGCCCTAGCATCCTCTGATGGTAACCAATGAGTTTTTCTGTTGTCTAATATTCTTTTGATCGCTTTTAATCTTTTTTCAGATGATAACATTACAGCCCAAACCAAAACACAATACTCGGTAGTTACTGATGAATTGAAGCTTATTTTATAATCACATGTCACAGAAAGGATAACTACCATTACTGATATTTTCTTTTGACTTAGTAATTATTCCTCACTATAGTCACAGACAACTGAACACTTTTTTGAGTAGGCATCTCACATACAAGGGGTCTTTAAAAGTTTATGAAAAATGAGTATTAAGAAAAAACTATACATAGGTTTCAAACCTTTTTGCACCAAAATAAATATGCACTAAGCTGTTAAAACATGTCTGAACAGAACCTAGTTTGAAACACTAAGAAAGATAAGACATCAGTTTGAAAACAGCCTCTACCAGAGCAACATGAATTCTGCTAAAACTGAAGCAACAACAAACATCAAATTGATGGTGAAGCCTAAATGGAAGAATTGTGAAATCATTGACGCTTTTTGAAAAGTTTATGGGAAGCATGCCTCAAAGAAAGCAGCCGTTTACAAATGGGTAACTTGTTTTAAGAAGGGACAAGACTATGTTGAAGATGAAGCCTGCAGCAGCAGATCATCCACATCAATTTACGAGGAAAAAAATTCATTTCGTTTGTAACCTAATTGAAGAGGACCAATGATTAACAACAGAAACAAAAGCCAACACTATAGGCATCTCAACTGGTTCAGCTTGAATAATTTTGACAGAAAAATTAAACTTGAGTAAACTTTCCACTCGATGGGTGCCAAAACCACTGCATCCAGATCAGCTGAAAAAGCAGAGCTTTCCATGGAAATTTTCAACAAGTAGGACCAAGATACTAAAGCATTCTTTCCAGTATAATACTGAAGATAATAAAGCACAATTAAGGCAATGGCTACCAAGAGGCAGAAGTGGTTCAGTCAAAGCAAAAGCAGACAGGTGAAGAGCAAAGATCATGGAAACAGTTTTCTGGGATGCTCAAGACATTTTGCTTGTTGACTTTCTGCAGGAACAAAGAATGTAACGTGCTTATTATGAGTGTTTTGAGAAAGTTAGCCAAAGCTTCAGCAGGAAAATGCCTGGGAAAGCTTCACCAGAGTCGTTCTGCACCACAATGCCTCTGCTCATTCCTCTCATCAAAAAAGAGAAATTTTGTAAGAGTTTTGATGGGAAACCATTAGGTATCCACCTTACAGTCCAGATTTGGCTCTTTCCGACTTCTTGTTTCCTAATCTTAAAAAAAAAAAAAAGTTTAAAAAGTATCCATTTTTTCTTCAGTTAATAATGTAAAACTGATTGCATTGATATGGTTCAGTTCCCAGGACCCTCAGTTCTTTAGGGGTAGACTAAATAAATGGTATCATTTACAAGCGTCTTGAACTTAATGGAGCTTATACTGAGAAGAAAAGTTTATATTTTTTATCTTTTAATTCCAGTTTTCCACAAACTTTCTGAAGTCCCCTCATATATCACTGAGCCAGAACTGGAGGGTTAACTGGTTATTCTCAGGGGTAAGAGAGTTCCTCTCATTTCAAGGCAACCAGTATAAATGGCAAAGAAAGCTAGGCTAGGCTGGGTTAGAAACTTGAATTATTTAAAAAAAAACCAGTATCTATTTGTAGTCAAGGTAAAAACATTTTTCTTCTATTTGAGAGGAGATAAAGACTAAGTTTTATCTCATTGAGCATATTAGGCCAGCTTCACCCTAAAATGATCTTAGGCAACTTGAGGGATTACTACATGTATAAAGAGACCCTTAACTTCCAGATCTCATAAAGGAATACCAGCTTTTCACATAAAGCATCAAACTTAATTATTGAATAAAAATAAGCAGAAAATCACTTTTGCTTAATGATAAGTTTTTTTCATCCTATATTTTGCCTGTTTGAGATTAAAAAACAAAACAACTAACCTGGGTCCATTTATGGTTATCACTTGTTATTGAATGTACATCACAAATTAAAGTCTAGAAGAAATAAACATTTAAAAAACTCATTAATCTATGCACAAACATATGAAGACATTTGATAAATGAAACTTCCAACTAAAATCTAAAATAGTATATCTTAAACATCCTTACCTGCATTGTTGGACGTAAGAGAATGTGCCGACTTTGGTAACCAGGAGATTTCATGTTACTGGACTGCCTGTAGTCACGTATTTCTGCTATGACACATCCGCAATGAAAAATATTAACCTGTTTGGGTAAAAATATGTAAATGTCATTTTTTTTTCCAAAAGTCTAAGTAAGTAGTTTATATCAAACATTTCACATCCTTTACATTCATGCAACATTTCTGGCCACTCATGTATGCACTCTTTAGTAGATTTCCTTGGTAGATTTAACACTGTGTAAACCTTTTCAAAGGAAGTATTTTATGTTCATCACCATGACACAAGAAGCAATTTAAAACTATTTAACAGTTTCTAATTATAGATTGACTTTGGCATCTACCAAGTCAATTGACTTTTGGCATTTACATACTATTACGTTACAGATCCTTGGAACTGTTCTTGATCCTTGGAACAGTGAGCTGTTCTTCTGCAGCTCACTGGCTTACTGTTACATTTTGCTAACTTTGCCATTACTATAAAGTTTATCATTGTTATAAATTGCCAATCAACCTTGCCAGTGTTTCAGCTTCTAGATATAACTTCTATATTTGCTCTGCTAAAATTTTCAGAAATAAAATCTTTGCCCTTAGCCTTTATTAATAGGAGGGAAGTTAAACATAAAATTCAAATGAAAAATAGTTCTTCAGGCTGTACCTATCCAGGTACAGCTTTACAGATACAGTAGTCAGACAACATTTGCACTCAGCTGTGGGAAGACAGGCAATAAACATGTAAACAGAACAAAATAATTTTAGATAGTGATGAATTCTATAAAGGAAATCAAATAGGGAAGGGTCAATCTGGATTGTATGTGCAGATAAAAACCTTAGGTTTTACCTAAGATCTGAATCACAAGAAAGGGCCGGATACATTAGGGACAGATCATTCCAGACAGAGGGAATAACAAATGAGAAGTTCTTACTGTAGGAACAAGCTTGGAGTGTTTTATTGTGGAAATGAAACAAGGATGGATGGAATGTAGTGAGTGAGGATGACATTTAGAAGATGAAGACAGGCCAGGCGTGGTGGCTCAAGCCTGTAATCCCAGCACTTTGGGAGGCTGAGACGGGCGGGTCACGAGGTCCGGAGATCGAGACCATCCTGGCTAACATGGTGAAACCCCGTCTCTACTAAAAAATACAAAAAAACTAGCCAGGCGAGGTGGCGGGCGCCTGTAGTCCCAGCTACTTGGGAGGCTGAGGCAGGAAAATGGCGTAAACCCGGGAGGCGGAGCTTGCAGTGAGCCGAGATCCGGCCACTGCACTCCAGCCTGGGCGACAGAGCAAGACTCCATCTCAAAAAAAAAAAAAAAAAGATGAAGACAAACAGGAAAGCAAGGGTTTTGTTCAGAGCACTGGGCACAACCATGTATCTTAAAGAGAGAGCTGGCATTTGCTGATGGACTGAATGTGGAAGGTGAGGACAGGGTCATCTGTTAGACTGAAGAGACTGGTGATAAAACTGGTTTGGGAGGTAAAATAAAGTTCTGCTTTTGTAATATTAAATTTGAGGAACCTATTATATATCCAAGTAAGTATGTAAGTTAGGAGCTTGGTGGAATGGCCATGGTGAGGCATATAGGCAATAGAGTAAGTAACATTTTAAAAACACATGAAACTGGCTGAAATCATTCAGGGAGAATATTACTAAAGAAAAACAGAGGGCCAAGGACTGAACCTGAAAACACACACGTTTATGGATGGAACAGGGATTATAGTAAAAAAGACCGAAGGATTAGAAAAGGCAGAGGAAAACCAGGAAAATGACGTCTCAGAAATCAACAGAAAGGCATTTCAAGCAGGACGTAGTTATATCCACTGATCTTTGCTAAGAGGCCAATTAAGAAGAGAACAGAAAAGTGACCAATTATTCAGTATATGGAAATCATTGGTAACTTTGACAAATGCAACCTCTGCAGAATGACGTCATGATGCCAAATGAGATGGGTGGTGGAAAGAATGGGATGTGTAAAAAAGGAAATGACTATAAATTCTTTGAGTAGCATTGCTGTCAAGAGTAACAAGAGCAGTAGTTGGAGAAGGGAGGACTTTTTTTTTTTAATTTGAGACATACAGCTTAAGTATCCCTTATCTGAAGTGCTTCAGACCAGAAGCATTTTGGAGCTGGAAATATTTGCATTATACTTAAGTCAAGCAGCCCTAATCAAAAAACCTGAAATCTGAAATGTTCCAATTAGCATTTCTTTTAAGTGTCATGTCAGTGCTCAGATTTTGGAACACTGGATTTCATATTTTCAGATTTGAGAAACTCAACCTCTAACACAGTATGCTTGCATTCTGCATTTAGTAGACAAAGAGAAATAGAAAAAAAAGAGAGGTTATAATTTTAAGTCCTTGAGAAGGAAGGGGAGGATCCAGAAAACAAGTGGAGGGGATGGATGCCTATAAATAGTACGTATCAACTATTTTAACAGGAAGGCAGGTAGATATGAAGAGAGGTAGGGATGCTAGTCGACTGGTGCTAGGAAGAAACAAGAGCTCTCATGTGATGTCTTCTTTTTCCTCAGTAGAGTACACAGTATGGCTGGTGTTAAGGCAGTAAGAAGGAAGTAGAACAGGGCAAGGGAGTGCTTATCTAGGCAAGCTATGAAGAGAAGTACAGATGTGAAGAGAAGTACAGATGTAAAGAGAAGTACAGATGCAAAGGTCAGGTTCTGGCCCCCAAGTGAAAAACTTCATAAATATTCAAAGTAGTTTCTTTCATAATTTCTTAATTGTAACTATATGGAAATTTCCAGTTGATGAGCTAATTGTTCTATTTTAGAAGAACTACGTCTATATGTTTCAGTATACCCTGAAGGTTAAAGATCACACATAAATTCATTTCCAGATAGCTATACATGTCTCATTTCATCTCCTATTATTATTAGTTTTAGAGACAGGGTCTTGCTCTATCGCCCACGCTGGAGTGCAGTGGTGTAATCACTGCAATTCTGCTTTACCTCTTCCTTCTCTAATCCTTCCTTCTCTAGTCCTGCAGTGGTACAGGAGCATCACTTGAGCCCAGGGGTTTGAGACTGTAGTGAGCTCAAACTCCTGGGTTCAAGTGATCCTCCTGCCTTAGCCTCCCAAAGTGCTGGGATTATAGGCATGAGCCACCAAAGCCCAGCCTCATTTCATGTTCTAAAGGCTGTTGGGAACAGTGATAAAATTAAACATCATCTGTCACGAAACATCATATAGTCATTTATATACATATATGTATACATACAGATAAATGTGACATATATATCATATACGTATAACAAATATAAAGACATTTTAAAGACAAAAATTTTGTACCTGAGATTTTTCTAGGAGATCGACCAAAATAGGAGGTAATTCTTCTGCATCCAAATATTCAAGCAACTCTCCTTCTTCATAGGGCAGTCGAATGGTCTCAGAATCTTAATTTAAAACATAAAGTTTGAAAATGATGACGCTCACTGAAAGCTTAGCTGTATAATTCAAATGGCTTTTCAAAAAAATGTCTATAATAAAACCAAAAGGCATTTCAACAAAGCAAGGATTGAAAAAAAACCAAAACCAAAAGGCCCTCCTAATGTTCTTCTTTATTTAAGGGCGGGGGGAACCTAACACATTATGAAAAAACATCTGGCATAACATCACAATCGGAATCACAGCCCAAAGCAAAATAATCAGAATATGATAAAATTCCAATGTCAAAGTAACTGAAAGTTCACTGAAGACCAATTAATCTAATCTGAAAATCAGAGGACACTTCGGTGCGTTATCTGAAAAGTGGTCACTTGTAGAACAAAATTCTCTTGGTGTTACACTTTACAACTAATCAACACACACACAAAATTCTAGCTATGAGAGTTCCTTGTAGAACTCACATTATCATCATTATTAAATTTTTTTATCTCTTTAATGAAACTGAAGAGTATTTATATTTTTAAATTATTTTCATACTCACCATTAACAGAAATGCTCATATTCAATATTAATAGAAATATTTTTAATATGTGAAAATTACTCAAAAGGCAGCAAGTCTGCTTAATTTTGAAGATTTCAGACTCATATTCGAACTGCAGGATTACCTACCTTTAAACACGGTATACTATCTTAAAATATAAATAGCAATAGAATGAAAGGAAATTCTATTTTAATTATCTGTAAGTTATGTTTCTATAATTTTCCTTTTTTTTTTTTAACCTTTCCTTTGGTTCTGAGATGCTTTTATAATTGGATTTCAAAGACATATCAATTACAATACTTCTAAAATGCACATTCAGGAAAGATAACCATAAGAGAAATAATTTCTAATATTCTACCAAAACATATCATAAGGAAGAAAATTGGGATCAAAATCTGTTTTTATCACTAAGTCATCACTATCTGAAGAACAAATGCTTTAGCAGGTTAAAAAACTACTTTAAAAAACCAGCACATCCTGCCTGGCGAAAGTATTTTGTGGCAGCTGTGCTCTGGAGGGTCTTACCTGATCCGTTTTTTCCCCTGAGCATCAGAGAATATCCCTCATTTCCTGGGTACAGATTGACCACTAAACAAGACAAAGTCTCTTGCATAACAAGCTTCTCTAACAAGTTCACATTTCTTCTTAATTTCTGCTTTAAAAAGAGGCAGAGCTCATGAAAATAATCCAGTATAACCTGAATAAATAATGCTATGATTTAACAAAATCAGGGTTGAAGTAACCTTTTGGTGCTCTTTCCGCATTATGATTCTGAATAAATGAAGAAGATTCACAAAACTATAGCCACTACATATGGGACAGCTATGTAAACTTGCTATGTAAACTTAATTTTTATCTACTACTATGTTTCAAGCAAATTAATTCATATTTTAAAAACTGGTGACCTCCAAGACAATAAAAGCACTTAAATATAAAACACTTTTGAATACTTAATAAAAATATTTAAATAAGTAAAATATAAAATCATTAAATGCAAATATATAAAACACAGAAGTATATAGTTTCCATTAAGTATAAGTCTAACCTAAAGAATATGGAGCATTCTCTTTGGTTGTATCTAAGAAGTGCATATTTCTTAAATATTTTATAGGCTAAATAAGATACAAACAAGTTCAACAGCTCTAAGCTGAAACGTTGAACCTAAAAATATCTAATTGGTAAGACGAAGTAAGCAATTTGGACATATTCTGTAAATCCGATTCAACAGCGCCTTAAAAACCACAACAAAGTCCATGATTTTAAAAATGCGTATGATTTAAAATAAAACCTACTTACAGATTTAACAAATCATGTCATCAAATCTCATTTAGCAAAGATAACAGTAAATAGAATATTTTTTCAGAATCTCAAAAAAACCAAAATGTCTTGAATATCTTATATTTAGTAAATATATATTAAACATGTATCATACACACATACAGAGAGAAGTGATAAATTCTTAATCTGTCATCACCATAGAATGAAAACACTAAGCAATCTGAAAATTTTTTAAAAAGGCAAACAACTTTTAACCACTTTGATGTTAAACTAGAAAAGAGAGACTAAAAATGTTAGTCTTTTCAGTGTAGCAAAATCCCTCATAATTTGACTTAAGACAGAATTAGATAAATTTTTATAGTATATGTACCTCTTCAACAAAACAAATTAGCTACCACGGAGTTGATCCCATCTAGACTAGAGGTTGCAAATTTTCTTTCTTAATGGGTCAGATAGTATTTTATGCTTGTAGGCCAAATAGTTTGTGCTGCAACACTCAATGTGTCTTTGTACCTGTAAGCCAGCCCTAGATAATATACAAACCAACAGGTGTGATGGGTTCCCATAAAAATTCATTTATAAAAACATGTAGTAGGCACATTTAGCTGATGGAGAGCAGCTTGCCAATTCCAATTTAGAATCTTCATATATGCAGCTCTCTTATTTTAGTTCTGTCACTGAGGTGATGAGTATGTACATTCTATTGTTTGTAGTGATGATTTCATGGGTGTTTCTATCTACAATGCACATGTCCAAACTTAAAAAATATATACTTTAAACATGTACAATTTATTGTATGTCACTTATATATCAGAAAAAACTTATGAAAAACATACTGTAAGATTTATAAGTTTAAAAATAATTTTTTTCCTAATATGAAGATTTTAAAGTTAGACACTACTGGAATTCCACTGTTTCTGGCCTGAATAGTAAAACTGTATTCATTTTTAAAGACAGACAACAAAAGCTCATAGAGACCTTTAAGGCTCTTCCAATCTGAGGGCTCAAAGACATCAATAAATCAACTTCTGTTACATTTCTACTACCCACATATTTTGCTAAATAAAAATGAATTAAGTTAAATTGGCCATGAACTCGTTTTATGAGCAAGCTCACTTTTTATTACTGTACTTGAATTTCATACATGCTCTGTAATAGCTCTGGCTTTCCAGTTCAAATCATCATGAGAAAACAAGTTACTGCTATAAATTTGTAAATCACTTCTCAGGAGGAAGCGCTATAAATTTATAAATCACTTCTCAGACGAAGAAGCAGCAAAAGATAATATATACTGTGTCTTTGCTCATCACTTCCTAGTGAGACAGTCTGTTATTCAATATAACTGTTCCTTCACTCCTACCTTAGCAGGTGATCTCTGCCTGGGGCCACATTAGCCAGAGCTCTGGGTCAGCTGCAGAACTGACTAGTATCTGGCTAAAAAAGATGTTAGTTCACTCTCACACACAAAAATAATACTCCAAATATAACTCCTCCAAATTACTCTCTTCTACATTTCAAAAGCTACAACACAATAAAAATGTATACTTACCTTAACCTCAGGTTCTTTTTCACATTCTTCAATATACAGGTCATAAAGTTTTTGAAACACAGATTTTCTAAAAAAATTTAATGAAACAAATATATAAAATGTTAATATAGTAATCATCATGACATGAATGTTATTTTTTTCCTAAATTTTAACATTTTTTCCTCAATTTCCCAAAAACTGGGGTGGAGCTGAATATAGTAGCTAACATTAACTTAGAAATTCCTAATACATGCAAAGAACCTATAAAATTTCTAGTTCAGTGCCTACTAGGAATGTAATAAAATGTGGCCATCATCATATTTCAATGAATCTAAGACGTTACCAATTAATTATTCATACCTTCCACTTGATAGGTATTTCCTTTTAGGAGGTCTCTGTCGGGCACTTTCAATGACATACTAAAAAACAAAAGTTTATGAGAATAGCTAGCCTTTTGCTTTTGACTATGAACAACTGTATTGAGTATATCTAAAACATAAGTAAGGCTCAAAAGGCTATTCAGTCACTTAAGTCTCTGAATTACATCTTGTAGGAAAAACTACTTAACATATAAAGATAAGTTTCAAACAAATGAAATTTGAACTGCACTACAATTTAGCAGGGTATTTCATTGCCATAAGCAAAATCATAGTTTCACAACCATGACTTTCACAGGTCAGAAATATTATCAATATATTTTATGGTTGTTCAAAATATGCTTAATGTATGAAAAATCGTATACTGTATACCTTAGCTATTTTTCCCTTTGAGTAATTAGAAAACTTGTCAAAACAGGAAAATACAATTTTGGAAATTCTATATCCTTGTACAAGTAAGTTTTATTCCATAACATTATTATCTTGAGGATTCCAAGTAATAGGTGATCCAAATATCACCTGATATTTTTATATATTTATAGCAAAATGATATGCATACTTGTCCTAAAATAATAATGTGCTCCTTTAAAAACCACATACAAAAATCTCTTAAAACTGAGCTTTTGTCAGTTAAAGACAACACTATTTCAATATGTAACTTAGTCACACCTCACCTCTGCACGATCCAAAGCTAGTTCTAAAGCTTGTTGCTGTAAAAAGTAAATAGTATATTTGGCAACATTAGTTATTTCCACAAAAAAAATTTAATATACATTTAACATTTCTAATGTTTTCTAAAACAGGTCTAATATATTCTCCTTTATTTGTCTCCTCCACTCCACTCTATGATCAATATATACAACAAAGAAAAAATATGAGTCTTGGGTACCTGATTACTAACAACAAACTAAATAAGAATGCTAACACGGTCTCTCTGGTCAGTATTTGTGAGGTTAACATAGGGGAGGTTTGGATATGGCAGCTATCATCACTTCATGGACTTTAGTTTTTAAGAGCACCATTCAAAAAAATTTACTGGCCATAAAGTATACAATCAAAATGAAGCAAAGGCTAAACTCTCTTAATTTGCTAAAAATCTTGAAAATTGGGAGTGGGGTTGTACTGGCACTTAAAATTAACTTAGAAAGTGCTAATATATTAATGCAAAAAACCTATAACATCTCTAGCTCAGTGCCTAGAAAGAATGCAATAAATGATGGCTATCATTGCCATGTTTCAATGAATTTAAGATGCCACTGAAAGCATGCATCATTATTTTGCGTAACATTAAGACAGAAAAAAAGCTATAAATTGTAAGATATTCGAGTATCAACTCATCAATTCAGTGATATTAAAATATAAAAGAAAATGAACCTCAGAATTGATGAAATATTTTACTGTTACTACATGTAAGGTTTGAGATCTACTAGTAGATCCCTATCCACTCATTTCTTAGAGACGAGGAAAAAATATGGTGAAGCTATGCTATTTCTTCATTTGTAAAGCTTTCATTTCTAAAGACACATATGAATAAAAGCACTAGGTCCCAAACAAAATCAAACATGGCCAGGCATGGTGGCTCACGCCTGTAATCCCAGCACTTTGAGAGGTCGAGGCAGGAGGATCACCTGAGGTAAGGAGTTCAAGACCAGCCTGGCCAACATGGTAAAACTCCATCTCTACTAAAAATACAAAATTAGCCAGGCGTGGTGGCACACGCCTGTAGTCCCAGCTACTCAGGAGGCTGAGGAAGGAGAATCACTTGAACCCGGGAAGCAGAGGTTGCAGTGAGCCCAAATCGTGCTATTGTACTAGAGCCTGGGCAAAAAGAGCTAAACTCAAATCTAAAAAAAAAAAAAAACCACCTAAATATATCACCAGTGGTTCTCTTTCTCGTTTTTTTGTTTTATAGTATTTTTCATTCACAATGATAGCCATTTTTAAATTTTATTCAGAGGCATAGAACTTTCAGTTTTTAATTAAAAGGACTTAAATTGTTCCGTCTTATTTTGTAGATTCCAATACTTCAACCTACCAAATTGCATGTGGGTAAAAACTCCTATCACCCACCAAAGTCCCAGGAGGGCAAGGGGGAAAAACAAATACTGCCACCCTTTGGAAATCATGGGAACTTTTAAGTGACCACCTAGTTCTAAGGATGGAGAATTTGTATAATTCCAAAAATAGTGGGCCTTCTTGCACTGTTCAATAAAAAACAATCCATATTATCAAATATCTAAATATGATAAGTGAAGAAAGTCTGAAATCTGCCATCTTTTCAAAACGTTCAGTTATAACAAATCTACACCAATTTGCTTTGTTAAAAAATCTTGGCCAGGCACTGTGGCACATGCCTGTAATCCCAAAGCTTTGGGAAGCTGAGGTGGGAAACCAGGAGTTCGAGACTAGCCTGGAGAATACAGTGAGATTCTGTCTCTCCCCTCAAAAAAAAAAAAAAAGATCTTATAAGGAGTAGATTCCCAATGAA